CAATTGGACTTGCAAAGTTGAGCTGTTGTGGAGCAGTTACATCTGGTTTGTAAGGAAATTGTGGAAAAATTGTAGTTGATTTCCAGTTATATGAACAAAGGTGATCCCATTTCATGAACCCAAACAGAGCTCAAGTTTAAGTAACGCATCGTAACGTTGTTCATGCTTCGTAATATATCTATTTCAAATGGGAGGCGTTTTGAAAGATATCATTAGCCATTTAGCTGACTTCGGGCTTCACAGAGGGAAGGTTAATCAAAGTAGCAGAAAGTCGAGGGGCGGGGAACAGAAGGGCGATTCACAGATGTAAAAGAGGCAGACAGACACAAAGGTAGAGAAAAAGGTAAGGTGAGTACTGTGAAAGGGGTCGAATATGACAACCAGGGGGGGGGGGTTGTGGTAGTTTGAAGTTAGAAGTCAAATGCCGGTTAATAGACTTTTTTGCCGTATGAGTATACGTGGAGGTAAGTCTATCGCACACCCCACTTCGTAATATTACTCCATTCACTCTATACCGCTGTGGTCTCCGTACTTTGGGCGTTGCCAAGCTAATTATGGGAACAAACTAGGCTAGTTGTACTTTTCTGAAGCCAATTGGACTTCTAAGAGTATTACTAAGGTTCAGCAAAGTACTTATCTTTGTAGTACCGGCTACACGTGTTTCAACTCAATAATTCCTAAAAAGAGTTATTCCAATTTCGCTAAGAGTTAAGATACGATTAGACAAATTATCAGAAAATAAGTTTAATGTGTCGATTTACCAATTGATTTGACGAAAAATATACTCAGTATCTAGTGCGAATTGTGAATTAGATTAAAGTTAATCACTATGCTTTCTGCTTTTAAAATGGTGCGAAATTCTCTGCGTTTTACTTTAATTTCACTCCATCATGGGCTACTTTGTGTGAAATATGATTGACAGAAAATGAAAATGCTTTCATTTAAACAACCCTGCCACATTTGCTTTATCATGACTTTCTAACAGAAGGGCATATTTTGCAAACGAAGTTTAACGCCTACAGAAAATAAAGTCAAAACTATTTTTCTCATTGCACTGCAACGCTTCCTCTGGGTTCGTTTAGACAGCACTCTGCGGAGTTACTTAATCGTGATAGAGGAACAATCGATAGAAGAGAAAACAATAGAATTCTTCTCGAAACAATCTGAAGAATATGCTTAAGTATGGCTCTATATATATATATATATATATACTTTTTGTGTTGCACACGGTGGATCTTCCGAAAATTGGCATGATAGCGTTGAAAATCTACAATATTGTGAAGTCTATTCGTCTATAAACAAGTTCGTTAGTCGGTCCGAGATATAACTGAGATAAACGAATTTTTAAGTCAACGCTTTCATTTCATTTCACTTATTATTTAACCTTTCTCTGAATTTTCAAATTAAGCCGATAAAAAATATTATTTCATGAAGTAAACTAGTAGTATCTTTTTTTATGACTTTATCGACTGATGCTGCCAGCTAACTCTTTTGTTAGACAATGGAACTACTGCTCGTACGTCAGCAGGCAAAACTTGACCTTTTCTGTCCTAAGATAGTGCATTTGACAACTCACCATAGATCAACCGAAAAATTTCACGTCTTACACTTTAAATGCTCTAGTTAACTCTGTTACTTTGGGGGAGACTTTATGTCAAATTCAGCGGGCTTCTGTAGAAAGCAGTGTGCCACGTGAAGAGTATTCTATGTGTTGATATCAAATGCTAGATTATCTATTATCCGTATAAATGCAAAGCTGATCCGTAGAATGCATTATAAAGGTAAATTGACACCCCAAAGAATGTTCATGTAAAAAGAACCAGGCTTGGAGATGAGAACATTAGAATAAATGAAGGAGTCTGATATATGAACGCCCTTTGCCGAATAAGATGCATCAATAAGGAGACTTGTGACAATAACATAAGTTGAATTGCTAAAAATAGATCAACATGTTATTTGATCTAATTGGGTCAACAAAGAATATAAGTGACAGAAATCGAAAAATTACGTAGAGGAGTGACTAAGCCTAAAAAATGATTTTACGCGCCTTTGCAACCCACCCGTTATTAATTAAACATCAAAACACGACACCGAATTCACTCAATTTGCATTTCTTTCACGCCAGATCTTATTCACTTCTTCGCCTCATTAACGCAATTTCATGAAATTCACACAACACTTCCAAAAACGGTTAAAATTGTCATTTTTTACTCAAAATAGTGCTCTCGAAAATTGTTTATACAGATTATTGAATCTTGAAAAGGTTGGCTCAGTTGCGCCATGCTGGTTCAGCATCATAGGGATTGGTTGACAAATCGATAGATATCGATTTTTACATAATTAATATTTTCATGTTTCCCGACAGAGCGCTTAGAAAAAAATGCTGCCTTAAAATTAATTGGCGTTTGAATTTTGCCACCTTTACGCATTATTAAGCTTAGAAAATTTTTCACATCATTTAAAAGTTGTCTCGCATAACTTGACTTTTCCTTCCTTTCATAGTTTCAGCGACGTTAAATAATGAAATTTAAGGAGCAGTGAAACATTCACAACGAGCAGTATATTCTTCCAACTATTTAGTCATTTAACACTTGTGAATTTTATATTTAATATATCAAAGCTTGGGAAAACTAATAATTATAAATAAACATAACTACTTTTAGATACACTAACACATATAATGAGCGAATTTTCACACCGACGCAACCAATATTACTATTATAGTATAAGTAGAAACGTAACTTATAGTAAACGTGTTTTAATGAAAGCATTGAAAAGTCAAATAGCGAATTAAAACGCCTTTGGATCATGTTTAATGAAATCTGTCTCTCTTCTTATTAGTTCTAATTAATATTTATGACAAGTACGTTATATATATATATGTATATATAATTTTTTCATGCACTAACAACTTAGTAAAGAGTTCAAATAACATCTATCGTTATTTAGTTGACTTCGAGTTTCACAGAGGGAATATCAAAGTTACAAAAAGTCGAAAGGGGGCAGAAGAATGATTCACGGATGTAAAAGAGACTGACAGGCACAAAAGTAGAGAAAAAGCAAAGGTGAGTACAATGGAAGTGGTCGAATATGACATAGAGTCAGGCCATGGTAGTTTGAAGTCAACTGCTAGTTTAGAGACAAGTTTTCCTCATAAGTGTACGCTGCTCAGTGAGCACCTCATGGAAGACAGTGTATCGCGCACCCCAATTATACTAATTCGATATAATTTAACTACTAGGTAGAAAATATTCAAAATCTACTTTAATTAGTACTTCATTTGTATTCCTGGTGTATAACAAGGAAAATAAAAAAAATCAAAATCATTTATCCCCAACAAAATCCCTACCCCCACCCGCTCTAAATTTACCTGTTGGTCTTAGTGTCAAAAAAAACACCTGGAATAAAATAAGTAAATTATATAAATTTTATTTATGCAGATGATTATGATTATAAGTATAAAGAGAACTGAGGGAAGTACAAGTCGAATCGATCTTGGATTCGGTAGAATTAAGTTGTAGCGTTGTGAAGGCACTAGGTACAATAGGGGTGTTGGAAGAAGTCACTGGAAGATAGGAGAGATTTTCAGCTGTTTGAAAATGCGACAATTTCATTTTGCTCTCGGGATCAGAGATATGAGGAATTGTGTAGTTAATGGGATCGATAAGTGATTGGACGGTAGGGGCGCATGGATATTGCTGGTAGGTATGCACGGCTTTGACATCTCGAGTCCAGTTGTTAGGTGATTCAGGCTAAAATAAATAGTTCTTGTGTTGTTTATGCATTAGCAGAACTATGTCAAGTATAATAAAGTAATTAGTAATAGTAAGTTGTTTCCTTAATGCTAATACGAGTGTGCACGCGTTTTTTGCATAATTTATGTGACGTTTCTTACACATTTAATTCATTTTTTAAGACGAATGGTAGAAGTTGAACAAAAATTGTAAATTAAATTCGATGATAACCATTTTCTAAGGACGGTATCAGGATATAAAGTAAATACTTTACATGCTTATTTTGTCATGAACCATTTACAATTAAGAGGTTTTACCATTTAGGCTGGAATAGAGGCATATATTTGAAAATGTACGCGAATGCCCCCTGAAATATTGCAATAGTGAAATCTGTGCAAACATTTGTTTAAGTTGTGGCAAATGATTTGATATTAACTTGGAAAGACGAAATTCCAAACAATTATTATGAAGAAAACAGTGAAAATTGCCCTTGATAATTGCTAGCAAACGTTATAAACTTTCTACTTTATAAAACAGTAAACGCTTCAGGCAAAATAAGTATAGATGCTTTTAAAAGATAATTAGTCTAGAGATACCACTCTGAAAATCGACAAATGAAAATAAATAATTAGAGTGTGAATAAAAGAATCATTACTTTACTGAAATTAAAATAAATGTTATTTTGTTCTTTTCAATAAATAAAGTAATTAAATTGACATAAATTACACCTTACATGAATTGGATCTATTCGACCTTGGCTTGAGGGATATTCGAGGGTAGGCTTTCGCTTAACTACCGAGGACGTGTGTTCTGTACATGCATTTGTTTTCGATCTGGAAACGGATCTCTTCAGGATTGTTCTAAATAATGAATCATTTCCAATTGGTGCCATGGAACAATAATTACTACATAATGGAGTTTCTGAATCACTGAGGATGTGATCCAAGTAGGCAATATATCCGGCTGCCAATTTTAAAGTATCAAGTTTAGAGAGCTTAGTGTCACGGGGTACCCAAGGAAGGACGCTTTTCAACTCCATAAAAGCTGTCGACAAAACTCGCATTCGAGATCGTTCTCGTGCATTGGCTGCATTTCGCTGTAGTACGCTGCAACGGATTCCGGGTTTTCTTCCACGTCGTTTAACAGGTTTCGGAGATAATACTGAGTCCAAATTTTGCCCCTGCTTTGGAATAAGTGTTTGATTTCGACGTTTCGGTACAGGCACTAAATCAAAATTTTCCATTTTGACACCGAAATGAGGCTTTATCGACGCCTAATTAGATAAATATGCGGAAATCACTCGTTTTAGCCAATGGGGAAAAAGCACGCATAAGGCCGACATGCGATTGGTGCATAGTTCAAGATATGCAGCAAATCACAACAGTGCAGAATATGCATAGGCTTAGTATAGTGTAGTTGAATTTAAATATACTCCATATTAATAATTTCCATAAAAATTCGGTTTATCACCCTTTCTAATTAAAGGAATCAACCAAATCAAGAGCTGCTTGCTGAATTTAAAATAAGTTATAGATAGTTTTTTTTAGGTTTTGTATATTCTAAGTAGAATGTCGTTCTATTAGAGAAAGTGAGACCTATTCATGAATTTAATTTTATAGTTTTAATTTTGCTTCCTTTACACAGACTATTTGTTATTTAGGATGCCAATTTCGCACGCTTCCTAAATCACAGTTAAAATTATAGTATGGGAGATGTCTAACGATCGATAATTCCCACACGTGGTGAATCGATGAAAAAATTTTGGGCTTTGACTTAGAAATACGCAACTTTTCATTAAATACTAGGAGTGTGTTTATAATAAAAGAATATCTTCACCAGAATATTTTTTCATTTGTTTCAAAAATGCTTAGAGGATTTAAATTGTTCAGAAGGTGCGGTACTTGATTGGCGATGAAGAAAATTTAAATGAAAATAGTCAGTGTTATAATTCTAAGCGCGCAAATTTTGGTTAAAGAACATGTTGGTGATTGAAAAAATGCTTATGTATACTCTGTCATGACTTCCAATATTGTAAGCAACGAGGAGCGTGTTTTATTCTACTAAAGTACTTGATATTCTTATAGAAGGAAATTCAGTCTATTGTAATCCCTGGTTATTTATTTATTTCAAATTGCGGGCTATATGATACTTATCATTTGCCCTTTAGTTGACTTCGGGCTTCACAGAGGGAAGGAAGAACATCAAAATGAGAAAAAGTGGAGAGGGGGACAGAAGAGTGATTCAAAGATGCAAAAGAGACAGACAGACACAAAGGCATAGAAAAGGTAGGATAAGTATGATGAAAATGATTGAATAAGACATGCAGTGGGATCATGGTATTTCGAAGTCAGAATTCGACTGCCAGTTTATGTAGTTTTTTGTCGTATGAGAATACGTTGCCCAGGGTGTACCACGTGGAGGTAAGTCTATCGCACACCCCTAATCCCTGTTTATAGCATCTGCAAAAGGTGGTCACTTCTAGTTCTCACAACCATTTCACAACATTAGGTAATCATTCTCGCAAAAAATTGATTTTTCTCAAATTGGCCTATCTTTTAATTGTACATCTCCGACTTCCAAAATGAACGTATGCATTCGCATTTGTTCAACTGTCATGGATTTCTCTGCATTCACTCACTTCCCAAGTCTTGAAAAATGATCCGTACGAGTAGAGACGATGATTGAATACAGCTTAACCGGCGTGATTGAAATCCGAGCGGCAGTAAAGCAGGTGATGATTGGACAACTTAACGGGGAGGGAGATAAAATTGGCATGAAGGGGGGGGGGGGGGGGGGGAGGGAGGACAAGGTGAGAAGTGTGAGGAGTCCAATAACGCGATCGCTTCTCCAATTACAATGGAATAGTCGAGCGATTGTGCATTTTCGCTCTTTTTATTCATAAGCCGTAAAAAATATAGTTGTTTTAAATATGAAATATGGTAACTCTTTTATCAGATTAGCTTTTGGTTTTCGACAGTGCTGATCATACACACACTTGGTAGTGTTGGTGACTTTAGAAGCTTTATCGATATCTCACTTAATAAGAGCATATCGATCTCATTTCATTTACTACATTATTAAAATAAATGGCTCATCAAACGTTTTTTGACCATTGATTAAATAGTTTTTGGTTAATCATAATCAGCTGGATTGAATGTTTGCACTTTTCTCATAACCTGGAAAGTCTAACACTCTACTTTCAGGCAAATGCTTTACCCCCTATTAGCACTGGATATTAAGTGTAGTATGGGCTATGAGTCATTTCATACGGCTTAATCAGAAAATCGATCCATGACACTGTAACTCGTTACTAATATTCCCAAGCCAATTCTCGGCATCGCGTTTAAAAAATGCATATCAATGTAAAATTTTCTCAAAAAACGATCGCTTTTCAAATGAATGTACATTTTTGTATAAACTGAACTGTGTATTTCAAGGATAGAATTTCGCATGACGAGCACCGTTGTCAGGTTCTATAATTGAAACTGAGACAACCTATTTTTCGACTAAATAAATATCTGAATGTTGTAAATAACGATATCAAGGTTTTATTATGGCCTTTAGAGCATGACAGATTTAATTTATGAAACTTCACGAAAGAATCGAAATTAATTAAAACAAAATATGGTTGATATATTTATGGGACTGGCGGTTAATTAAGCTGTATCCGAAAACAAATGCCAAATTATTAGGGCAGTACTAACCAATCACTATTTAGTTATTCATACACGGAATAAAATGTAATCCAATCATAACAGCTTGATTTCTATGCGTCGAATGTCAAGAAATTGGGGCAAAACCTGGCTGCATCTAAGCAATGTAGAATTAATTCTTTTATCCCACCGAAAGGCTGTAAATCAAGTCTGAAGCTGTTCTCTTTCGGGATGGAAACGGAACAAACGCGCACATTGTCCTTTGTACTTAACCCTCTAAATATGTTTAAGATTTTGGGCAATTTTGAAGAACGAAAAGTTTTGTTCTGGTTTCCTCTGGAAAAAAGATGAAAATATGCATTATTTAAATAATCCACTTTAGATGGAATATTGGTATGAATTTCGATTGGCTTCGCAGTGACCTCCTTAATAAAAAAATGGTCACGAAAAAATAGTCAGATTAAACCTTTTAGTGCAAATTCCACACTGACAGAGTTGCTCATTTCTGACCTAACGAGTATTATTGCATTCTGCATAATGCCTTGGCTATTATACAGGTTTATTGCTTTTAGCAATTTTGCTTTTTTACTTGCCATAATCAACTAAAACGAATTTGAAATGGTACTCTGATGGCTTAAAAATTCTTATCGGTTGCATCGAGATTTAAAGATGAAAACGATCAACCAATCAAAATTCATGAAATTTGAAATGTTCTTCTACTTGTTTCTAATTCAAGACCACTATAAGAAACGAATGTTTACTGAGTCTGTGAGAATAATTTTCAAAACCAAGCACTGCAATTTAAAGATAGAAATGCATGACAGAATTTAGAATAGAATATCGCAAAATCTGGAAGTTTTGTACTAGAATCGGACAATTTTTGTATTTTCTCCTATTTAGCAATTACTGTCATATAATAAGACTTAAAGCATTAAAGAATGAAAGCCTAAAGCTATCGATATTCGGTATGCATTGTGAACGTTCCCACCGACTTAGCTTCCTCACAAAATTAGGGCTTCAAATCAAATTTCATCGATAAGGTACTTAGTTAATTGCATTCTAGTAGGACTATTAAAATGAAACTGAAATAGTGGAACATATCCTAATAGGGGTCATATGAATATGATACGACTCCTGATAGTTCAAGTTCATTTTATCAAAGCGTGAGAAAGGACTGATTTGCACGAGGACACTGTTTGAAATCTTCTAAGATGGTTACATTTCAACCGTGGGAAAATATTACGGATATGTAATTGATTAATTATATTATGCCAGTATATCATGGGCATGATGATTATTGTGCATGAGGAATTAGCCAGACGATTTAAATCAATTGGAAGTTTAATGATCTTCGTAGAAGAGGAGTGCATTTCTTTTCATTAATATAGTTTTAAACTTGTAAGACTTTATGAAAAAAGTGGGTTTACTATATTTGAACTCCTCCATTGAAAAGTGTAAAATAAAATGAAGAACAATGCATTGAAAATTTATAGCGGTTTCTTATAATTATTTTAAATTGTAAAGTGAAAATGATATTCCATTTCTACCGAAACCAATGCTCACCAAGAATTACTGTAAATCTATTTATATTTTCTTAAATTCCTTTTTTCAGAATAACGAACTTGGGTTCTAATACAAAATGTGAGTTAGCGGTAGATGTTGAACTTTCAATATTACGGAAAGTTGTTTAATGGCTGGTGGATAAAAGCTAGTTCTGAATTTTGCTTATCGGTTTACATAATCACTCGGCTGCACTTTATTAAAGTTGCAACTGCTCTTATTCAAGGATGATGAATGGAGAAGTCTTATCGATCAAATATATTGTCTTTATTGCTTGATAAATGATTGGCTGCTTGGTTAGCCAATAATTGTCGAGACGGCTTCTCTTACATAACCAGGTGTGGGTGTGGTAATCTAATAACTGATAATCAAGCGAGTGGAAAAGCAAGGAAAGCATTCCATTAGGCACCTTAGTAGAAGTCAAACATTATTTGACGATTTTTAGTTGGAAAGCTTAAGAAGGGAAGAATTTAGATTGAACTCGGTTTGAAGCTGAAAGAATCGGGGTTCAAAGAGGTTTGAATCGTTGGAAATATTAAATATGCCAAGTCAATGACAACGAGAATCTACATACAAAATATTTCCCTTATGAAACCTTCCAATTATTTTTTTGTTTAATATGAGTAATTTTCATCGAATTCATCGTTCAGCTGCATAGCATCCAATTGAGGTTGTCGTATCCAACTATTTGAGTGTGAATATTTAGAGGCATCAAAGGTCTTTTAGATTTAAACTTCGCGTATTATTTTTGCAATTGTAAAAGGAAATTTTTCTGCTAAAATCGTGGAGTAAAATAAAGTTGGAAGCTAGAATAACCTAATACAGGAACGTCAATACTGAGGTTGAACATTTTCTTTCGAATTGCGTGTTTGAGTAAAGATGACTGAGTTTTCGTTAACGATGTGAGGCACAAAGTTGTGATTTGACTTACATACATCGTTCTTCATTAAAGTTATATATTATTATTATTATTATATCAAATGACAGGCGTTTCGATTGTTATCCTTAACCCTTTTGTTGACTTCAGGCT